AAAAAAAAAAAAAAAAAAAAAAAAAAAAAAAAAAAAAAAAAAAAAAAAAAAAAAAAAAAGGAATAAAAATAATAAAGGAAGCAAGAACAGTCGGCGGCTACTGGCTGTGCTAACTAACACACACACTATTACTTAAACATGTCTGTCTTTCTTCTTCTTCTTCTTCTTCTTCTTCTTCTTCTTCACCTTCACCTGCCAAAACTTTGTTTTTCCCTACCATTTGCTCTCCTCTTCTCTTCTCTTCTCTTCTCTTTCAGTCATCAATCATCACCGAATGTAGTTTTCTTTCCTGATGCAACTATGCTAGGTTTGTTGAAACCTCCTCGTCCTCCTCTACCGCCTCTCCCGCCGCGATCGCCGCCTCGTCCTCCTCTGCCTCCGAATCGTCCTCCTCCTCCTCTGCCATCACCACCACTCCATCCTCCACTCCTTCCACCACTTCTTCCTCCTCCACTTCTTCCACCACTCCATCCTCCTCTTGCACTACCACCACCATCACGGCTGTCACCACGAGGCTTGGCTTCGTCCACTGTTAGGTACTCGCCGCTGAGTTCGCTGCCATTGAGTTCGAGGGCTTTGTTGAAACTATCTGAATCTTTGAAGTCCATGTAAGCCATTCTGGAAAAACAAATTGACAAAGCCAAAACATCAGAATTGATAGATTGGAGAAGGAAAACACAAATGAAGTAGAGAATACAAACCCTTTGATGTTGCCAGTCTCGTAGTCCTTTGGAATGGATACCCTGGTAACGTCTCCACAACTACTAAAATGATCTTGTAGGGCACTTCTAATCTGTAACAAAAACGATTTCAGAACACTACTGTAACATGGCTACAAAATCACAGATAAGATAATATTATTTGTTACCTCGTCCTCGCCTAGTGATCGATCAAAACCACGAACAAAAATTGTATGGCTTGGACCACCCCTTCCTCCTTTCTGGAATGAGTTGTTTCTGTCTTTGCTGCACATATCATATCAACAATTAGGGAAAAGAAATGGGGGGCTAAAAAGGGAAGAGAGATATTCTAACTAAAGAGGATCTTTACCTGTCATATGGGGTATATGCACCTCTTTCTCGAGCCAAGTCAAGTTTTACTTCACGATTTAACAGGAGCTCACCATTCAATTCAAGAGCCTGAAGTGAAAATTATTGAATACATCAATGCAAACGTAGTAGCAATCACAGAAATATCAAACAACAAGATCAAGAATGGCTGAATGGACGTTCTTGTTAGCTCAAATGCTACCAATCTAACTAAAAATATGTTGTACCATGCAAAATGGACTTTTTATGCATGAAGAAATATACGGTGCAAGTAAATAGGATTGTAAAACAAAGTTTCAAGTATTTATAGATAAGGCGTACAATGCAAAATGATGAATACAGAGAATATCTGTGAGTTTTTCTTCTAGATTAAATCAAAAAAAAAAAAACATAAACACCTCCAATACAGATATAAACCAGTGAACACCAAAATAATGGAACTGGTTCTTACTTTTTTAGCAATATCAGCTGTCTCAAACTCCACATGGCCAAAGCCCTTGAACCTCCCATCGTGGTCAGAAGCAAAACGGACATCAATAGGCTTTCCAACATCTTTGAAGAAGTTTTCCCTGCAAAGTTTTAATAATTCAGTTTAAAAAATACAGGAGTATAATTCAATGGCCAAAAAGGGAAAATTGGAAGAGAACCATTAAAACAAAAGAACCCAGTATCCTATGTTCACCATCACATGCGAAGGCCTCAAATATAGATAAATTATGTCGGGGAGTAAAACAACTATAATCAAAATAACAACAGAAAATGCAACTTTAACATACACATCAGCCTGTTCAACTTGGAAGGACAAGTTTCCAACAAACAGCGTCTTTGATTCACCACTCTGATCTTTAGTAGGAGTTTTAGGCTGCATGAAAATAATAAGAATTAGTCGTTGAATATATGATACTAGACTATATAAAACAGATGACGGAATAAAGGTAATTTACTGCTTCATTCTTCGCTTGCTTGGTGGCTGTTTTTGGTGATACAGCATCCACCATTTCAACATCATTATCCTAATACCCCAAAAGAATTGACACAGATTAATCCCATTACTAGGTAAAGATATAAAATATAATCAAAGTGACATTATTATATTTTTTAATATCATTAAAAAAAAATGAGCCATCAACAAGCACATATCTTTCATGGTACTGGAAAAACGCAAATCATAAGTTACTGGAGCAGATGGTCAAAGCTCTTTCACAATTACTATAAAACCTAACGAGCTAATGCAGATAAATCTTTACATAAGAGGTTTATAACCAAACACATGACAAAGTAAAAACAATAGCACCAAAAAACTAACCACTTTCTTCTTCTTTTGTGGTTTTTCCTCCTCTTCATCACTTTCACTGGAACTGTCATCGCTGTCTTCTTCATCCTCGCTCTCATCACTGTCCACATCCATCTTTTCTTGTGTTTTCTGTAAAAGGATAATGAATTAAGACAATTCAGGTAGTTTATCACTATATAGCACTAGATTAATTACGTGGACAAAAAATGTATTAGATTCATTTTTCACAACCCATTGGAGGAATTATAGAGAAAAAAATATCAAAACTTTAAAGAATACCGATTTGGAATCTTTTTTCTCAGAAGGAACAGCAGCTTTCTTTGGAGTCTGCAAAGACATTTTAGATAAGGTATTTAATAACATGTTGAATAACATCTTTTTAAGTCAACCAACTCAAAGTTTGAAAATTGTTTTTTAAAGAGGCATTAAATATGAAACAGTATAGAATAGCATAAAGATTTTTATAAAAAAAAAACATCAAAAAAAAACTTGAAAAGCAAGAACAGGATGATCAATATCAAAACTAACTGACTGCCACCGTAATAATGCCTACTACTCTTTGTTTAAAAATAATAATAATGAATATCCATGACATTATAGCAAATCATAGAAATAAAACTAAAACTGACATATACAACACCCAACCACCAGATGCATGAACTTAAACGTTAATTAATGGTTCACAGGAAGAACTCACATCCTCATCGTCGTCATCCTCATCTTCAGAACTACTATCTGAACTCTCTTCTACTTTCTTAACCGGCTGGGATTTAGCAGGAGCAGCAGCAGGCTTTTTTGCAGCCTGATACAGAGTTCAACATAGTTTAGTACATTGACCAATGAACATATTCCCCCACGTCCTTTGTTACATATTTAATATGGAGAAACGTAGCACTATTCAAACTAACCAACCCAAATTAATGATAATGAACTCAAGCAATTACTAAGCTCCTTTATATATGTAGGAGACAACTAAATTGTTAAGTCTGATTTTATTGATCTCTGACATTCAAGCACAATTACTACAATCGACAAAAGATGGCACAAGAGGCAGATGTCAATCAAATACCAAGGATAAGTAAAATGTAATATTATACCACATCCTCGTCAGAATCACTTTCTTCTGAACTGTCACTAGACTCGTTCTTTTTAACACTGGCAGGTGCCTTGGAAACAGCTTTTGCTGCAGGAACCTATGCAAGGAAAATCAAAGACTCAGAAACAACTCATCCAGAAGCAGCTCACTACTGGTTCTTGAAAATTCAAGACAAGAGACAAACTAGAAAATTTCAATCCTTACATCTTCATCAGAATCTGAACTTGAATCAGACTCATCACTCGATTCATCTTTAGCAGAAGCAGAAGAGCCATTTTTAGCAGAAGTTGAAGGCAGTTTCTTCAGTTCATTGCTTTTTTTGGATACTTTATTTTTCTGGATTATTAAAAAAAGGAAAGCTTCAACTAAAAAAAGTTCCCAAATCCTAAACAGTAACACCTTATACCAAATAAATAATACTTACAGGCTCTTCATCTGAAGAGCTATCATCCTCATCTGAACTTTCGGAATCAGAACTATCCTTCTTTTTAGACAAAGCAGCAGCCCCTTTCTTAACAGAAACTTCCGAACCTTTTGTTTTAGCTACAGCTGGCTTTGCAATTTCCTAGAAATAAATACAAGAATTTATCAGAAAAATCAGCATACAATCAACTACTACATGTTCACATCAACTACTTACATCTTCCTCATCAGAACTGTCATCTGATTCTGAGCTACTCGACTCCACTTTCCCTTTGGGGACAGCAGCAGGGACACTCTTTTTGGCAGCAGTAGGTTTTCCCTTTGGTTCCTTGAATACAAGTTCCATTAAATTGATTACAATAATGACAAGCATTTGAGAATAGATGAATAAATTGATTACGAATGTGCAAATGTCCGTGGCACAATTCTCAGTGAATACTCACATCATCAGAATCAGAATCGTCATCAGAAGACTCTTCCTCTGAACTACTGGAATCCTTGTTCTTTTTGGCAGGAACGGCAACAGAACTCTTTTTTGCAGCACTTGGTCCCTTCTTCAATGTTGCAGCAGCTTTAGAAGCGGGCAGCTGAAACAATTGAGATTAAAACAAAAATCAATTATACAGACTTATGAAGGACCTATCAAAGTTTCTCGTACTGTTCGATAAATAACATATATACATATACTCAAATCTACCAAAACATATAAATCTATAATAAGCTAGAAAGCTTAAGGGAGTATGTTTACACACTTCATCAGAATCAGAGTCAGAATCAGAGGAGTCTTCCTCGGAGCTACTGCTACTACTAGCAGGCTTGCTCTTCTTCACAGGGGCAACAGCACCATTAGCTTTTTTAGGGGGCAATTGTTGCTTCTTTGAAGGAGAAACTTTAGGAGCAGGTACCTGGAGTTGTTAAGAGTAAGATAATAAATAAACGTAATTACTGTACAGAGTATACAAATATTTTCTCTCCCTACCGACGAATATTGACCTTGTCTAGAAACATATAATTACATCGTAACCAATGCTACAAAATATACCAAATGAAGCAATGCAAGCAAAAAAAATATGAAGTATGCATGAACATAGAAACCATCCTCAGTGTTCTAAAATCCCCATACAAAAATCTCTGAGGACCCTTTATTCTAGAAGAAAAGTTTATTAAAAATATCTATTTGAGACACGTAAATTCAATATGTTGTCGTGCTGGTGTCATAACTATTATTAGAATTTATTGCCGTAGCTAACCGAACTATTAAATTTATTGCTGTGGCTAACCGAACTCCTATAGTTTTTTAAATGCTGCAATACTACGAGTTACGTTGAAAGGCCTACAAATTTCCTTACCAACGTGGAAAGACGCGATAAAAAACATGCGAAAAGGCAGATTAAAAAATCCAGTCAATAATAACGATGGTGCTTACAGTCTCTTCTTCGGAAGAAGAATCTTCCTCAGAGCTACTTGTCTCTACTTTCTTCTTCTTTTGTGTTTTTGATTCGATCTTTTGTTTCTTAACTGCCTGTTCAACAGCCTCGTCCTTTTTCTGCTTCTTCGTTACTACTTGTTTCTCGACAACCTCTTCAGCCGCTCTCTTACCTTCGTGAACATCAACATACCAAAAATTTAGCAACCATTCTCAATAATCAAATACGAACAATAAAAAGAATAGGAAAAAAATTCATTGATCACCACAACAAACAACATGACACAAATCAAAATCAAATCGGCTGAACTCGATAATGCATACGATACCTTTCTTCGCAGGTTTCGAGGTCGGGACTGCAGCCGGAGCTAACTCGGCCTAGAACAATTAAACAGAAAACCCAAAACACCATTACAAAACCATCTACAAATCTAGCAAAACTTTCATAGGGAAAAAAAAAATAAAAAAATACGTCTCTGAGAATCACACGTACTTTAGTTGCAGACTTCTTGCTCGACTTCCCCATCTGAGAGATGAACCAAATTGCAGAGCCCAAGACGGGTTCTCAGGAGAATTGGTAAAGAAAAAAGGAAAAAGAGGAGAAGAAAAACAATGGAGGCTCTGCAAAACCCTGTTCGTAGAGAAATATTAGGGTTTTGGAGGAGCGGTAAGTGTTAAACAGAGTCTTTGCTTCTATATTTATAAGACGCTGATTTTGTATTCGGCGCGCGCTTTAGGGTTTCGTCGGTTCGTACGTGTGAGCTATAAATCGGTCAATCGCGGCTGTATTAATCGCCAATCCCGTTTAATCTGCACCGTTCAATTCTTTCTTTGATTGGATCACTGTGGCGATTATTCATAAATCGTCCGTTGGTGGGTTTGTGGACCCCACCGCGTTTCGGGCAGATATTTCTTTTTATATTCCGTTAAAAGTAAAAGTTCGTTTTAAGAAACTTAAGATAAAAAATAAATTTTTACGCTTAAAAGTAAATTTTTATAACCTTCGAATGTAAAAACCAGTGTTACAAATTTAAAGATAATTTTTTTATTTAAATTTATGAGTTTGTAATCAATTAATGAAATAATCATAAACAAACGATTTTAAAATTTTAGTTACGTACATTTTTTACCAACGTGACTTTCGCTTCTTTTGCGTTTGATATCTATAAAGTTTTGCCATCTCGAACCCAACAAGGCTTTTACTTAATTACCTGTACTACGTTGTTAAGTTGGACTGCACCCCTTGTTCAGCTTTGATTACCTACTGATTTCATGGTGAGTTTGTTAAGAATAATGGTCTGATATCATGTTAACAATGACAAACAAAGTACGATGATTGAAAGTATGATGTTCATTAATGTTCAAACCCTTTAAATAAAATACAACATACAGTCTACTGACTAACGAGATAAAATATATTACTAACCCAAATCTCAAAAGTAAAATAAAATATATAAAATATACTGCTAACCAACTCTTAAAAATAAGGGAAAAATCTCACCGATTACAACTATATAAAATATATTTCATAATTAATTTTATGTCTTAAATCAAATTTCTTAATGCTCTCGAGTGCGAGAGTGTATGTCAATCACACTCAATTCGTCTTTCAAAAAATCAAATTGCTATATTCTTAAAGCTCGATGAAAACATATATCAAGTTAACTCTAAACAAGTATCTGTGGATGATATGAACATGTGATTTGCTTTTTAGATTTCCAATAAATAAATGAATTTATGCCGAAGATGCAAAATGGAAACAAAAAAAAATTGAAATAATTGAATTTAGCAGTAGTAAGATGTAAAACCCAGACGACATGAACACATTGATTTGTTTTTTAGCCTTCCAAAAAATTATTGAATTTTCGAAAAAAATGCAAAACCCAGAGATAGATCGGCTTTGATGCATCTCACAACTCAAATAGTCGCTTATTGGTTCATGCATAACTATAGGGTTGACAATTTATCCCATTTAAATTGATTAGAACAAAGTGAATATACTGTCTAATCACTTCCTGGTTCATCCATAAATGATTTATTCCAAAATTTGTAATTTGTCTAATTTATTTTGATTGGAACAAGTGAATGAACTAGCTGACCATGATGGTGAAGTAATAAGGGCGGTTAAATCAACATCCTAAATTTTGAAGTTGAATTTAACTGATAAATAAAAGAAAACGCAAAAAAAAATTGACGATAACCTTTTTCATCATCTACGGTACGAAATCGATTAAGAAGTCGTGGCTATTAAGTTCAAATTGTTTTATTTTTTATTTTTTGTATATCCATTCCTTCTTAATTTTTACGTATTTCTATGAAGATTAGAATATTTAATATTTTAGTCAATAATATATATATATATATATATATATATATATATATATATATATATATATATGATAATTAAATTAGATTGTACTAATTTATTTACCAATTACTCAGTATTAATTATACCATGTTATTGGTTCGCAAATTACTCATATTATTTCAAAAATTACCATATTTAAATATTTCCTATAAAAATTAGTTAAGATAAATATTTTAGTCACGGCCCACTTTAAAATATTCATAAAATACAGAGAATAATATTATATTATTTTGAAATAACAAATATATATATCTTTTAAAGATAATTTAGTTCTTTTAATAGGAAATTATAATTTTTTTGGATATGTAATTATAATTTATTGAAAAAAAAAACATATATGGATTTGACCAGAAATGATTCCCAAGTTAGTTTCTCCATAAATAGAAAAAACAGGTTGACAAATATATATATATATATATAAAAATAAAAAAATGAAAATTTTATGAGCCTGATAATTATTCCTATACTATAGGTTTAAAATTGGATAAATAATTTAATTTGTTATTGTGACAAATGCCACGTGTTGATTAGGTATTGGGTCTTAAAATTATATTATATGTTTTTGAAGAGACGAGATTTTCCGCGAGAGTTAGTTTCCCCGAAGAATTCCCACCGCTTCCGGATATCCACATCAGCAAGAACAGTCCCCCTCCATGCAAATTCATGCAGAATTTTAGTTTAATTTTATGAAATTAAATTAAATTTCGGTGTTGAAAAAGAAATAAATTTCAAAGCCCAAACAAGAATCTGCTCACATCATCTTATATTTCGTTTCGAATCTCCTAATTTATCTCAATCACAGCCTGGTTTGAATCTGTTCCAGTTTTCATCTTACCCGTTGGATTTCAGTTCCTCATCGCCTACTTCGATTTCCCTCACTATAAATTTCTCTTTTCGATTCTTCCTCCGCATCGGAGGAAAGTGAGTTCGCCGGATAATGGAGAGGAATCCAAGCAAGCAGATGGCGGGAAATGAGAGCGATTACACTGCGGAGATCGAGGGAAGAGAGAGGGTTATGGTGGAAGATGCTTTCAGGAATACGGAGGTTCCGTCATGGAAGAATCAGATCACTGTTAGGGCTATTGTGACGAGCTTTATTCTTAGCATCGTCTTCAACTTCATTGTTTGTAAACTCAATCTTACCACTGGAGTTATTCCATCCCTTAATGTTGCTGCTGGACTTCTCGGATTCGCGATTCTGAAGGGGTACACTTCGATTCTCAGCCAGTTTGGTCTCATGAAACAGCCATTCACTCGACAGGAGAACACCGTGATTCAAACCTGCGTTGTCGCCTCCTCTGGGATCGCGTTTAGCAGTAAGCGCTCTTCTTCTTCTTTTTCTTCGATTTCGATGGATCCTCTGTAATTTCAGTCGCGATTTTTGTTTTACAACTATAGGATCTGAATTAGAATGATCGATGATCGATTCTGGCTCGTAGATGAATGTCAGGGATCGTCCATTGAGAACTAGTTATACGATTCTTTGATTTTCTCATTTTTCTTGCGATTTACACTGTTCGTTATGATTATTGAACTGTTTGGAAATTGCAATGTTCGATAATCAGGTGGAACTGCTAGTTATCTTCTAGGAATGAGTGGCAAAATTGCTGTTCAAGCGGAAGAGGGAAACATTCCGATAAACATCAAGAAACTCTCTGTGGGTTGGATGATGGGTTTTCTCTTCGTTGTTAGCTTTGTTGGGTTATTCTCTATAGTGCCTCTTAGAAAGGTTAGTAGTTCAAGCAATGTTAAATCCTTGTCAAATGCGATTCTCTGGTTTTAATCTGTTTATTCTATTTGTTCTTGTTCTATTTTGGTTGTTGCTTTGATATAATCCACACATGTTCTGGTCTTGCTTTGATGAAATGTTGGGCTTTCAATTGGGTTTGAGTTCTTGTTCGATGATTGATGGTGAAGAATTATTTATCATTGTTCAATTTGATCTATGAATTGGTTTCTTTTCCAATAGATGATGATTCTAAAATACAAATTGACTTATCCAAGTGGAACTGCGACTGCATACCTAATCAACAGCTTTCACACACCTAAAGGAGCGAAGCTTGCAAAGTAAGTATTGGCTCTGTGGCTCTGTTTTTACGCTTCCTTACAAGTTTAAGTTGGATTTTGCCTTGTTTCTTCCTTAACATGGCTATGGATTTGCAGGAGACAAGTTGCAGTCCTTTTCAAGAGCTTCTGTTTCAGCTTTTCATTTGCACTGTTCCAATGGTTCTTTGCTGCTGCTGATGGCTGTGGATTCGCCAGCTTCCCCACATTCGGCCTTCAAGCCTACGAAAAAAGGTAACCGAATCGTTCTAAATTAGTGCTTCTTTCATTCTGAGGTCTCATTGATGGTGAACTTGCAATCTAAAACTTGTTTCATTCTTGACTTGTAATCAACCAAATCTGTAAAATTTATACTAAAATTGATTGAATGTTACAGGTTCTACTTTGATTTCTCGTCTACATACGTCGGTGTAGGAATGATCTGTCCATTTATGGTTAATATATCTCTACTTCTTGGAGCCATCATCTCGTGGGGTGTCATGTGGCCCCTGATCGAGGCAAGGAAAGGTGACTGGTACAGCGCTTCTCTATCTGCAACCAGCCTTCATGGTATTCAAGGCTATAGGGTACCTCTCTCTCCTCTAAATCATCCCCTCCATTTCTTGCTCATTGAAGTGAATGATGTAATGTAATGTACTTGTTAATATTTCTCAGGTTTTTACTGCCATTGCTATGATGCTTGGGGATGGTCTTTACCATGTATTCTTCATGCTCTTCCAAACATTCTACAGCTTAGCCCAGCAGAAACTTTCCCATGACCATGGTGATTCTTCTTTGGAGGCTACCGACTACGATGCTAAACAAAGAATTGATCACTTCACGAAAGACCAAATCCCGAACTGGGTAGCGATGCTCGGCTATGGTATACTTGCAGTGGTATCGATTATCGCAGTTCCTTTGATCTTCCATCAGTTGAAATGGTACCACGTTTTGGTTGCATATGCAATTGCTCCTGTCTTGGCCTTCTGTAATGCCTATGGCTGTGGGCTGACTGACTGGTCTCTTGCATCAAACTATGGTAAATTTGCCATCATTATCTTCAGTTCCTGGGTTGGCCTTGACAATGGAGGTGTTGTTGCTGGTCTTGCATCTTGTGGTGTCATGATGAGCATTGTTTCTACTGCTTCTGATCTCATGCAAGACTTCAAGACCGGGTACTTGACTCTCGCATCGCCCCGATCGATGTTTTTCAGCCAAGTTTGTGGTACTGCCATGGGCTGCTTCTTGTCACCACTCGTCTTTTGGTTCTTCTTCAAAGCTTACAACGTTGGAGATCCCGAAGGCTCCTACCCTGCACCCTATGGTCTAATGTACCGTGGCATTGCGCTTCTTGGCGTTGAGGGCGTCTCTTCCCTCCCCCGAAACTGCCTCACCCTTGCCATTTGCTTCTTTGTTGCTGCTATTGTCATTAACATCATTCGAGAATTTCTCCAAAAGTTGGACACTAGATACCGCGCCTACCGTTTCATCCCAAGTCCAATGTGTATGGCAATTCCGTTCTACCTGGGTGCTTACTTTGCCATTGACATGTGTGTTGGGAGCCTGATCCTCTTCTTGTGGCAGAGGAGGAACAAGATCAAGGCCAGTGAGTTTGCGCCCGCCGTGGCTTCGGGTCTCATCTGTGGTGAATCATTATGGAGTGTTCCAGCAGCCATATTGGCCCTGGCCGGTGTTAAGGCTCCTCTTTGCATGAAGTTCTTGAGTTCCTCTACCAATTCAAAGGTTGATGCCTTCTTAGGAGCCTAATACCCAATTAGTTTTAGGATATTAAACTTGCTGCATTTACTACCAGATGTTTTAGTTTAGTTTGTTTTAATTTGTTCTATCATACTATGTACAAATGTTGGGTTCATCAAGACTTATCTTCCGATTGTGATCAACGATAATATTATAACTCAAAATAGTTTCTCCTTTTTGCTTTTGTCTTATTAGCTTTTAAGATTTGAGTGTGAACCAATTGTATTTGAAATTGTTACCTTACCTTATTAAATCTTGTAAGGTGCTTATTTGGTCTATCGACCATGGTTGTTGTGCTTATTTGATCTATCGACCATGGTTGTTGTGCTTATTTGATCTATCGACCATGGTTGCTGTGCTTATTTGGTCTATCGACTATGACTGCTGTGCTTATTTGGTCTATCGACTATGACTTCGACTATGACTGCTGTGCTTATTTGGTCTATCGACTATGACTACTGTGCTGTGCTTATTTGGTCTATCGACTATGACTACTGTGCTGTGCTTATTTGGTCTATCAATTATGACTGCGTACTTATTTGGTCTATCAACTATGACTGCGTACTTATTTGGTCTATCAACTATGTCCGATGTGCTTATTTGATTTATCAGGTACCCCACTTGTCCCAACTCCAAGGCGGCTACTAACCTAATTAGTCGCTTTTCAATCGAAAAGCTCACTCAGTCCAAGACATGCTTGAGACATTTTACTTGAACATAATTTAATTGACCAATATATTAGTTATCTCGTACAGTAAATGTTATATGAGGATAACAAGGACTACAGTAGCATCAATACCACGTAACCTGGACCCAGACTCTTGTTACTTTGTGTTCGAGCTTGTTCAAATTTGCACATTTGACTCCCATGATTCGACTATCACGATATTTTAATTACAACCTTGAATGTAATAGTTCATAATGTTTAATAATAATTGACATTTATTTTTATAAAAGAAAATGAAATAAAAGGAAATCGAATTAAAATTTTTTATATGGTTGTGGCGTGTTGAGTTATATATGTTTTAGTAGATAATTATTTTATATTTTATTTAAGAAATTGTTCAAATTTATGGCTCATTTGAAAAAAAAAAACAAATAATGTTAAAAAATAAATATGTTGGATGAAGAGGTAAAAAGTTAAATAAAAAGTTGCGGATAAAATCATCCATAATTTACCGTACGTAAAAACTTGGGAACGTGGGACCACGTTCTACAAATGTTTTGAAACAAACGGCGGATCACAGCGGTAGATTCTAGGGTTTATATGGACGGTCAGGATTCGATCCCACTGTGGAAAATTGGATAGGATTAGTCCGTACACAAGACAATAACGTTTTCCTCTCGCTTCCTTGATCGTTCATCTGCCCTAATCTGTCGTTTCATCTCAATTTCTTTCCCTCACCGTCGTCGGGAATTATCGAGAAATCTCTCCGGGAAGTCGATTCCATAGATCTCGGTAACTACGCCCACGGACATGGCGGCTGCAGCTACAACAAGCGTTGTGCCGCCGAATCGGCGGCGTGCGATAACCGCGCCGGAAGATAAGTTGGAATTCGAGACGACGGAGGGGGTTGAGCCGATCTTGAGTTTCGATCAGATGGGTATTAAGGATGATCTTCTCCGTGGAATATATGCATATGGTTTTGAAAAGCCCTCGGCCATTCAGCAAAGAGCCGTGCGGCCTATTATCGATGGTCGAGATGTCATTGCTCAGGCCCAATCTGGAACTGGCAAGACCTCCATGATTGCCCTTACCGTTTGCCAGATGGTTGATACCTCCAGCAGAGAGTGAGTTCCGTTTACGATGGAATATTCAATGTTCCACTTTTCTCTCCCTCTTTCTTTCTCTCTATTTTGTTTATTGCGTGCTTAAAATCTATGGTCGTTGTTTAGTTACTTGGCTAAAAATTCCAACTTGAAAGACAAAGATTGCTCGGATGTCAGTTGGTTCTCTCCATAAGAAGTTGTTATGGCATCGAGTTGACATTTTGAAAATTTTGCAAGGAAGCCAAATAATGTAATACGATCTTTTAAACTTCAAATTCATATGGTAATTATGCATCTTAATTCCAATCAGGGTGCAGGCCTTGATCTTGTCCCCTACGAGAGAATTGGCAACTCAGACAGAGAAGGTTATATTGGCAATTGGCGACTACATCAATATACAAGCACACGCATGTATTGGAGGCAAAAGTGTGGGTGAAGATATCAGAAAGCTCGAGTTTGGAGTTCAGGTTGTGTCAGGAACTCCTGGAAGAGTCTGTGACATGATCAAGAGAAGAACATTGCGTACCAGAGCCATTAAGTTGTTAGTTCTGGTAAGTTTGGGTGCCCTTCAATTTGTTTTTCTTGTTACCAGTTTTCTACGTTTTCATTTCATTTTCTAATATTTACTCTTTCAGGATGAATCCGATGAGATGCTGAGCAGAGGGTTTAAAGACCAAATTTATGATGTATATCGATATCTCCCACCAGAGCTTCAGGTTCTTTCTCTCTCCTTCCCTTCCCCACGTTGTGTGTATATGATTTTGCCCATGAGTGGCCAAGAGGATTCGTAAATGAAGTGCAGATCCGTCCTTGAGTTGGTTGCTGAACACGACTTTAACATGTTCAACGACGTGTTCTTCACAGAAAGATGAAACTTTTGTATGTTCAATAGTATTTTTTCTGCAATAATGCATGTAGTCGATGTATTATTTTGTGAAGGAAGAAATAGCGGGATTGTTTCATCAGGACTGCTTTATCGAGTAGTAACAGGACTGTTTAATTGAATGGGTTTTTATAGTTTCTCTGAAGTCTTTGAAGTGCCAGATACTTGATCTCATCAAACTGTATTTTAATTTGTATTTTTGCTTGAATTTGTTTCCTTCACGTGCCAGTTTGTAAATGATGTGATATTACTAACATGTTCCTGTAAATATGGTTTTTATAAATTTTATTGTGTGTAACCTCATGCGCTCTTTATGTGTATGGTTATGGGCAACCAGTGCCTTTCACCTTTTTTTTTAATGTAGTTTTCTATTTTCTGCCTGTCTCTATAACCAGATCTTTTGGTTAATCCAATGAATTTTCCCCCCTCAATTTTAATTGTAGGTTGTCTTGATTTCTGCTACTCTTCCTCATGAAATCCTGGAGATGACGAATAAGTTTATGACAGATCCCGTGAGGATCCTTGTGAAGCGTGATGAGTTAACTTTGGAGGTTTGTAATATTTTTATTTCTAGACGAATAAATCCCTTTTGGATATAAGTCACCCTGATGCATACTTTTAATTTGACAGGGTATTAAGCAATTCTTCGTTGCAGTTGAGAGGGAAGAGTGGAAATTTGATACCTTATGTGATCTTTATGACACCTTGACTATCACCCAAGCCGTAATTTTCTGTAACACCAAGCGTAAGGTAATGTGATCGACAATTTTGTTTTAGATTTCCTAAAATGATCTTCTCTAGATCTTGTCAGACTCATCTGAAACAGGAAATGTTCTAATTTTGGCCCTTTTGTATCTGTTTTCCTTTTTGCATGATTTTGAATATGTCGTGATCTTCTGCCTCCAGGTTGAATGGCTGACTGAGAAGATGCGCAGCAATAACTTCACAGTTTCACATATGCATGGAGACATGCCTCAAAAGGAAAGAGATGCAATTATGGGGGAGTTTCGATCGGGAACTACCCGTGTCCTAATCACTACTGATGTTTGGGCCCGAGGACTTGATGTTCAGCAGGCAAGTTGTTGATTCTTTATTTTATTGATTTTTTTGTCAATGCACCTTACAAGTTAAAGTAACTCTAAATTTCAACCTGGTAATGGTTCAAGTTCGAATGGATAACTGATTATATGATCTGATCAAGTACTACATTTGCACCATGTTTTAACTTCTTTTAATGTTGAGTTGAGTTGTCTCTATAATGTCAGTAAAATTATTGTATGTGTAATAGAGATTATATCTACATAATGATTTTTGGGTATCTTGTGGATCATATGCGTCAGTTCAATGGTCTTGTAGTTAATGAACATATAGTTAGTTTCAGTTGACTACTTGGATATTTTGTGGATTATATGCATCAGCTATAGGTTATGATGAGTGTGTAAAATCTAAGGTTTAGAAAGTTTGTGGAAAAATGACCACGTTGATCTTTCTCCATGCTTGGAGAATCACTGGTTAGTTCTTTTCCATTCTCTAGGAAGCATAATAGAAAAATATCTCTGCATGATTAGATATAGAGAGGAGATTGGGTATTGAATTTGTCAAGGACAAAAAATATACGTTTTCCTATTTTATGTTAATGAATTGGTGATCTCCCAAATCTCCATAAATGTCCGACTATTTTAACTCCCACACATCATTAATATGTTTGTGTTTATTTTTCATTCGTTTATCTGACTGTGGCAAGTATCCAGTGAAATCTAGAAACTCTTATGTTTATTTGCTTCAACTTCTATCAGGTATCACTAGTGATAAACTATGACCTTCCAAACAATCGAGAACTTTACATTCACAGGATAGGAAGGTCTGGTCGGTTTGGGCGCAAGGTATGATACTCTGTTCTGTATTTCAGTTGATTTCCTAGTACGCACTTAAAGTGAACATAATGGAGTGTGATTAAACTCGAATGGAGAACTGTCTCTGCTTCTGAGTGGCGTTTAATGTTCATGTTATTTTTGCTAAAACTTTTAATGTGAATTTATGGCTTAATAACGCAGGGTGTTGCTATTAACTTCGTGAAAAGTGATGACATCAAGATCCTGAGAGACATTGAACAGTACTACAGTACCCAGATTGATGAGATGCCCATGAACGTTGCTGATTTGATTTAGCACTGCTTGATAATATTGTGTGCTGTGTGGAAGATTTGTGTTAATATGCTCGCACATGAGGTTTTATGTCCTTTTAAGTGCCTCTTTATCGATGATATTTAGCGTAGGAAGAAGTTTTCACAGCAACCTTTTTCTGAGTGGCTTGGAGTGTTCATAAGTTGTATAATACCCCTGCGGTTGTTTTTCATTTTTTCAAGGGAAAGGAACTCAGATTATATCTTTGATCGACTTGAAATATATAATATATTTTGAGATTAGTTGTGTTGTGATTCCTATGTGTACAGTTTCATCAGTTTCATCAATATTCTTGAGCTCACTTAGAACAGTAGAGAAGGTTGAGACAAATGTTGTTGGAATACATGAGAAGTACAAAAAGAACACTTCTGACATACATGTTCAAACAATATGTTTCACGTATAACGTATATGTATATGTGTATATGTATATATAATAATCATCGTACAACGATGACATTTAGTATCAAAACAAAGAACGCACTCGTATACTACACCCATGATTCTGGCATCAGTATTTGAAAGGTTGCCAAAACTTTAATTGAAAGAGAACAAAAATGATACATATGATAACATGCATAATGGGGATCCTAAATGCTAAGCTTTTACAAAACTGTATTGATGTGAAGTGCTTTTAGCAGAGATGTGGCCATTTGTTTCACCAATACCTGACCACCAGACCGTTGTCCATCTCTGCGTTCCTCAATCAAATTCTGAAGTTTATGAGGTAAATCATTTTCCACAATCAATTGCTTTGGTCGTGGATGATGCTCATACACAGCCTGCCAGACGAACATTGGACGTTCAGAACTTGAATCAAGCATAAGATCATCGTCGACAGATTTTCGACGACGGAATCCTTAGAAAGGCACATCAAATGTTCAATCTGGACACGAATATCTCTTACCTTGATCAGTTTAAGTAGATTAAGCCGAGCAATCGCATCCTGATGGTCCAGCCTTGCTATAAGCAATGGGGTCAATCCATTGACAGCCAGTGTTGTATTGATTCGGGAAGATTTTCTGCAATTAGAAGTACATGTTCAGTTAATATTGATATGAGCTAAAATCTCAAAGATACTGCAATACTACATTTTCAAGGGGCTGGGAAGATTTTATATGGTTTGGATGCATGAGAGAAGTTAAAAGCTATGCTCTAAAGAGTAGTTATTTACGGGGAGCATTATCTATTAGAAATGAATTTTTTAGCATCTGACTCCATACCCACACTTTAAAAAACAGTCCAAAAAGTCGAGAACTCTTGATTAATTAGTTTGAACGGGGAGGAATGGAGAATGCTAGGGTCATAAGATTAATAAGAAAACTTGAGAAGCTAAGAGATAACAAAGAAAGAAAAAAAGCATCACTCTCAGATAGAACATTTGAATGTGGGGTATAATTAACCAGATAGATAAAGGCACATACGTGATGATTTTCAAGAACGGTTCCAATATATGCACAAAATGTTGTTCCGGACAGCACTGGAAAAACTTCACCAATTTTTTAATTGCTTCCTTTTTCAGCAAAGCCTGTTCAACTTTTCGGTTGTCATTGTCATGAGCTAAGCACACAGCAATGGAGTCCAATGCCGTGACAGACCAAATCTCATCCTCAAGTAGGCTTAAATATACATCTAAGCCACCGTGGGCTCTTAACTGCTCCCTAGAATTACGAGATGCATGGGCCATATCGCACAGTAGAGGCAATGCATCTTTTTTAAGAGGAGAGTCTGACATAATAAAATGCATCAAGTGTGGAATAATTCCATTTTCAATTGCACATTCTTGCCTCCTCTTATTTATCTTGCACAAATTGAATAGTGTGCTGAGGACCTACAGAGAATACAAGTAAGGTAGTAAAACCAGACACAGAAGAATACAAAATGCAGCACGAAACTTATACAAACTAAGAGTTGTAAGTTAAAATAACACAAGTATATGTGTTCTTGAAGAAAATGTTATCATGAACTGGCAGGGGAAACAATAAACAAAAGGTTTTCTGTCTGGTTTTAGTTAATAAGTACCTAAAAAATTGCTCATTTCAGATGTATGTCATGAATATGATCTTATTTGAGGTTATATAGTTTCGTTATACTGTTCATTCTTTGAAATTTTTTCTTATCTAGAAAAAAAAATGCATTAATACAAAGTAGATTATCTAAACAATGAGGGAAAAATAAGCACACCTCAGTATGTATTTGCGATACTAGAGACCCTTCTTTGAGTTCAAGGTTTGGAATCAAATATTTAATTGCATCTGCTCGCTGAAGATTTTCTAAGCAGTTTGGATCTGTTGATAGATGATTTATACACTTCAATATCTACGTCATGAAAAATAAATGGGAACACAGTTAGTAGAAAGGAGAAACGAGCTGGTTCAAAATAGCCAGACCAATGAAGGAATACAAAGATGCATTCTCACGTACCTTCAAGAGAATTGAGGGCTCTACCCTATTGAACATCTGGAAAAGGCGATTGAGCAAGCTATGGCTGCACATATATGACTTCACAGTTGTATCTGCCTGAGCAAACTCAAGCAGAAGATCAGACACCTTCGCTAGGTATTCCCTTGCAACATCAGCGTTCATAGTTGAAACCATGTGCGAGAGAAGTCCAGAGGATGTTGAACTCCCCGGTATAGCATTTAATACACCCGAACCTGAAAGCACCCCTGATGCTGTCTGTGAAGCAATTCCAGAAGTGGATGGAGCTCCCTCATTGGACACCAGGGGTTCTACCTTCCTTCCCACCGTTTTAAGGGAAACCTTAGAAGTGGGGTCAAGATTTCCATTTTCTTTTCCACGTTGAGAAACCTCTGGGGATGAAAATTTTAAATTAGGTTCTTTGAAAGATATTCTCAAGCTTCTTAAAATATTATCTCGAGAATGGAAATGTGCAGCACCAAGATTGATCAAAGTTAAATTCCAATACCTAAGAGTTGTCTAAGAAAGCTTCAAAATATTTATTAATCACTAGCCCTATAACATTTTATTGGTCCTCATGACCGTTTAACTTTCAGAGAGCATACAAGAAAAAACTCCCCACAAATTGTTAAGATGCCCAAGTAGGCTTGTCCCTAGTCTGTCCCTAGTCTTTGTAGTTCACCTAAGTTTAATCTCTATATCTATGGGTAATAGGAAATCCAATAATAAGGTAGTTTGAAAATACCCCTCTATTATACACATAATTGATTGTTAGAAGGAAGCAAAAAGACAGGTTCACAAACAGAGATACTCACCAGCGAATTCTGCCATTAAGAAATCAAGCTCCCCATTCATCTTCTTTTCATTTGATGCATGCAATAGAGGCATTATAGTTTCATGTCTCTCCAATCCAGAAAGGTGGTGCATGTACTCAAGCTGACCAGACAAGTGTCGAGAAGGGGGTTCTTTGTCCAATAGACTTAGAAGGGGCCGAACTTGCTCTTGCGGCGTAACCATCGAGGCTGTAGGAAATCCATTAGATGCAGGTTCCAGAAATTTTGGAGGTCTATCTGTGGAAGTCCTGTTTGAATTGACCATCTGCTCAATTCTCCATCTATCTACATTTTCATGTTCTTTAGAAACAAAGCCCGACGGTTCTTTGGTTGCTAAATTTACAACTTTTTCTAAAGATGCTAGCTCCGGTGGTTTAGAAGTCCCCAACGCTTCATTTGTGGCATTGCTAGACAGCCTACCAGGATCTGTGGAAAAGTGTCGGTGATCAGATTGATTCGCATCTGATCTTTGAGAATGTGAAGATGAAGCCCTTGAAGGTTCTGGTGTTCCAGCAGACAGGTGATGATCAACTATTCCATGCCTGACCTTCAAAAGATCAGGCTGATCAGGCACAGGAAATGAGGCCTCATACTGACTGAATATACAGTGGCTAGAATCTAGTTGACCTGATCGTGACCGTTGAAAACCATCAAATGGATTTCCAGCCCCCACCGTTATAGAAGCTAAGCGAGTTGCCTCATTTAAGCTGTAGAGGGTGTTAATAAGCCTAAGCAGAATTCCACTTTTTGCTGATATACGACAGAAACTATTTCGAAGAGTGGAACGCTGGAGCTTAAAGATCTGCCACATTCCATCAATAGCTAGGTGAACCATTTCCCTAAAAAAACAATATTTACGAGTTTGAAACGGTATTTAACGAAAAACCAAATAAAGGATCAGCACACACATCAGATGAAAATGGATTTGTTTTTTTCCAACGACCAACAAAGCTAAAATACTAAATGAGCAATTGATAAAACAATAAACATCAAAACTGAAACTGAACCAACGGTGAATAATGCAAACATGCGTAGTAGATCTCAATTGTTTCAATTTTAACTCAGTAACTCACGAAAATATTATCGTAGCACCATAAGGATTAAGAATGAAACACTTCACTGTTAAGACTAATTGGATAAATATCAGTTCCAGATAAGCATTTTTATTTTATGTTATGGGTTTGACTTCTTTATCCTAAGTTTGATTTTCATCTCATGGAAGTAAGTACTTATTTCGCAGCGAAAGTATCAAGGTTGAACATTATATGCATAGATTATGTAAAACTCTTCTCCATTTTTAATTTATTGTATTAAGCTCTCAAATACATCAAACCCAAAACTGCCAAAAAACCCCAACCACTCGTGAGACCAGGCCTATGCCTATAACTAATTTTTTTTTCTTTGAGAAGGTATATGCCTATAATTACTATAAATGCTCCACTATTGCAAAATGATATTTACATACCTGTACTTTGCATAATCAGCCTCTAAAAAGCTTACTAATACAGGTATTCCACGGCATGCAACGAACATTTGCAATGTCAAAGAGCTGAATTTTTTTAAAACAAAGCCATAGTGAGGAGATTTCTTTTCTAAGAAACAAATCCTTGCAGGGTCATTATGATACAACGAAGTTGAAACTTCAAACCTTGATTGACAAAGCTGCTGAAAGAAATAAGCTGCTTCCATACGAACTTCTCGGGGCCGGTCAGGAACCGCAAATCCCATTACCAGAGGAATCTGATAGTTACATATTAAAATGACCAATATTGAAGTTCATTCACTACTACAAAAGATAAATCAGAGGCTGGAGGAATAGACTAATAAACTACTTGGGAGGCTAAATGATACATTTGATTATGATAGATCATAGTGTGATACATCTTGAAGAAAAAAATACGAAAATTTACAGAATTTTTTTTTATTTACTTTAATGAACTAAAAAATGAATATAGCACTCCTACTTGGTTAATTACAAGAAAACCCTATCAACAACTA